AAAAAAAAAAAAAAACAAAAAAAAAAAACACCCCCCTGCATCCCCAAAAGTTTCTCAGTGGATTTGGGCAGTACTCAGCAAGCGCAGTACAGCCCGCAACTCAGATTTGAAAAAAAATCAGTGGACGACTGTTTTCTGACTGGTCGGCAGACCGACGACCGGTCAGCCCTACTGGTGGGCTGCAAAACCGGTCGGCCCTTCTGGTGGGCTGCAAAACGGTCGGCGGTTGGCAGCTATGCAACCCTGGAAAAGAGTTAAATCCTAACGAACATATAATGTGTACATGATTGACTTTTCTGATGGTGCACATGACTGAACTGAGAGGGACACCCCTGACTGTTTTCGTACCTGTTTTTCAAGGGTTTTTACAAGGTTAGGGGGCGAAGATATGGAAGTATGGGCGTATTCGACAATCAATCCTTTTAAAGAAGTAATCAATGCTGTCAGGTTTCCCTGGGACAAGACGTGGGGAAGTGTGAAGAGTGTGTATGTGTGTTGTATCTTTCAGACCTGCCGGTGGAATAGGAACTGCACTGATGCTCTGCGGAGTGGAAACGGACCCGGGCCTGTAAGGGAATGTTTTCCTTTTTTCCGTTAAGAATATAGTACGAACAACTTGGTTGACGGTTGTTTCCCAATGCCTCTTTTTCAAGACAGAAAAAAAGAAGTTAACATTGGGTCCCTTTCGTCATCCCCATCCCCATCCCCAGCCCCACCCCCACCCTTTAAACCCCTCTAAACCCATTGGGTCCCTTTCGTCATCCCCATCCCCACCCCCACCCCCATCCCAACTCGACTTCCAAGTTTTCTACAGAAAGTCAGGTACTGCATGTTCTCAACAAGCCCATTCACACAGTGCAATCAGAAAGAAATAAAAATGAATTTCGGGCACTTCCTGGCCCATCCGAATGGGCCGGCCAGAAGACCCCCCCCAACCCCCTGTTGTCCCACTGCCCTGGCCTGGTGGACCTAGTAACCTGGTGGAAAATACATGTATGGGAAAAAGGTGGTTCACGAGGGCATGACAGGACGACTTAACTTTCAATATCTCTCATTTTCTGCATGCCAGATGGAGGGGCCAAATGAGATGCAAGGATTCCTTACGTACCGTGAGCAACTAAGCGCACCATGACACTGGTCACAAACTTTGAAAATAACCCAGATATCTTTGTGTGTTGTTTTCTAGGCTGTCTGCAGTGTAGCCCCTGCTTTCAGGCTCTGGATGGGTGACCGCTTGCCCTGACATGAGCGCTCAGCATAACCGGTTCGTGTGACCCATATGCTTTCAAGGAAATGGTTAAAAAGTAAGTCTGACATTGAACACATTTGGGCAATCTGCTAAGAAGGAAGCCACCGGTTCTTGGAACTGATCGGGAGAGCAGTGGTGGGATGTTTTTTCCGGCGTAAACCATCAGCTTGGAGGTGGTGTTTTGGTTGTCGGTGGCCTGACTGCAATGTCTCTTCTGTGGGCCAGGTTCGTCGAGATGGGGAAGCAGAAAGGCACCAAGTGGAGATTGCAGAACTCCACAGAGGGAAGCGTGAATTGCTCGAGCTCACCGAGCATAAGAATGCTGAACTGGACGAGAAGAACAGCTCCATTAAAGCCTACTTGGAAAAAATTGTAAAGTCCCTATTACTTTGGTGTCCTCATCCTTTATCCCCTGCTTTGCTCTCTTGTTTTGATTCCATTCGTCCAGAGTTTTCAACCCTCTCTCTCTCTCTCTCTTTTGATTTCTTCACCCTGGCTCACTCTCTCTCTTTCATTGCCCCCCAAAATAGCTGGTTGCTGGCTAGGGTGCGTTAGCACTGTCTCACTCCCTCACATTGTTTCCTGCAGTAGTATTCATTGTTCCTTCCACTTTCGCTCTCTGTCAATGTCTTTCATTCCCAATCTCTTGCACATGTTTACCTTGTCACTCTCGCTCAATCTCTCTGGCTCTGCTTTCACTTGCCTGAGTAAATAGTCTCCTGCAGTTCTGCGACTTCTATTGCTGTCTCCTCTGGCAGCGTGACCCTTCTTTTGCTCAGCCACTTTCCCTCTGGCGCTCTCACACTGTTACTGTTGCTCTTTCACTGGCTCTCCTTGCTATTGTCATAGTCTGTTATTATTCTTGCTGTGTGTCTCATCCTTGTAATCTTGCCTTGCTCTCACTCTGGCACTTTTTGAGCGGAAGGAAAAGGACATGGTGGAGGAGGGCAGCAGGAGAAGCTGCCCGGGGAGGAGGGGGATGCAGGAGCAGGATTGAGAGGAGGTGGCAGAGAACGGGTGGGAGGAAGAGGAGGAGGTGGTGGAGGAATTGGGGCGGGGGGGAGGAGGAGCAGCAGGTGTGCAATGCAGGCATTAACCACTTTTTTTTTAAAAATGGGGTAGCCTCCGCCACATTTTATTCAACAGGATTTGAGCCGTTGATCTGTTTATTAACAGGTGTATGTGTGCGCCATTCAGTCCTTTCTTGCTGTTTTATGTGTGCGCCATTCAGTCCTTTCTTGCTGTTTCTTAACAAAAAAACAACTGTTCCTTCTACTCTGGAGAGTGGCAGTCCCTCTCTCTCTGTATCTTTTTCATCTAGCGAGTCACGAGTCCAATGCATTTCATCCAACATATCAGGGGCATTGCTGATGAGCCCGTGCAATATGCTTCCGGACCTACCTTTTGCCAGTCAACTATTTAAAGACACATACCTTGGTGGAGGACCAATGATTCTCTTGTCAAGTAAATTCTACAATGTAAAATGGTCTGTGGCTGTTGTTGCAATACCCATCCTCGTGGGCATGGACTCCACTCTGCATCCTGTTGTGCATGGTTGGCCTCTGACACCAAAACGAGGCCCATTGGTCAGTTATTTGTGAGCCTTTATCTTGAATGTATGCCCTCTCGAGTAGCTGTTTGTGTACTATTTATCGAGGGTCTTGGTCGGTAGGAAATAGGGTAGCCAGTGGCCGCTACTGAAGGGGCTATTTTGGGGATGCTACCCTCTGGACTCGTAAGGATATTATAATTCAGTAGTGCATGGTCACAGTCAATGCTGTAATTTGCTTAGCTGAAGGGTAACAGGGTAAGCCAATGGGAAAGTCTCCAAAAGTGATGATACTCTTTTAAATTTGAAGTAGCTCCCTGGAAGTCATGGCTGGTCCTTGCAAAATGAAAAGGACTCCATAATGTTTGGCTGTTTGGCTTCTAGCTGAACTAGGTCCCGGTGGTGCTATGTTCATGCCAGGAAAGCATGAACCACGCCGCTGTTATGGATGGCTTGATGCTTCCCAGGCATGAATATAGTGGGGCCTGCCCCTTAGAGCTATGCAGGGAGCTCTTGGCGTTAGGCTATGGCATATTCAGAGTACCGACTCTTTTGGACTGTGCAGCAATATGCTTCCTAGTGCTCTCCTCAGGGGTGTGTCCTGTTCAGGGAAGCCCTGAAGTCTGCGAGAGTTGATGAAAAGAAGGTGCGAGGTCTCCGTCTGGTACTGAAGCTCATGCTTGAATGGAGAGATGATCTTACGGTTTTGCCTCTAGCGCAGCGTAATGGGAACTGTCATGCTCCCCAGACTCGATGTCAAACCCTCTATCTGAACTGAAGAATGATACGGGGAGGCTTCTGGAATGGCTGTCCCAATTTGTTTCAACAAGTACTGGGACATAACAGTGAAACCCAGCAGACAGTCGTCGATTTACAACTTCAATGATTCAGGACAGTGCTGAGCATACCATTGTTGAAGTGTGGCCTCAGTGTTAGCCCACACTGCCCTCCCTATTCATACAATATTCTATCAAAATTTCAAGAAGGCTGAGGAATCAGCTAAGCTTCCCTCCGAACCTAGGTGAACGTGTTTATCGGTGCTCATGTGGGTGTTCTCGATGCTGATGATGATATTTGGTGATTGCAGGTTGCCCTTACCAATGAAAGGGCGAGGGTTGAAGCAGAGTTGCTGGAAGAGCGAGCTGAGGCTGCTCGAGCAAGGGCAATGCAGGCCAGACTTACGCAGGTAAGCTGCTTTGGATTCAGTCTGTTCAGCACGGGAATTTGTGCAGAAGGTTGAGGTTGAAAGTCGGTTATTGTGAAACAGAGCTGGCAGAGGGAACATTTTTGGTGATGGTGTGGATATCATGCTGATGGTTCCTGGAAACCCTGGAACACGTTTGCAGTAGTTAGCAGCGTTGTCATCAACATCTGACACACCTCTTTTTTTGTGTGTGTATACAATTGTTAGGAGCGTTCATGGGTGGAGTGCAATTATAATAAGATCAAAAGGCCAAGGTTTGGTTCGCAGTATAGGTCTTTACTCTCACCAAACTCTTGGTCAGTGGTTAGATGTAGTTAAAAGACTATCCATAGGTGCACATCTCACTTACCAGACACACACTTTTCCAAATGCAATTGTCTCACGCCTATCATCAGATAGGCATGGTGCAGAACCAAGGAATCACCAGAGAAAGAACAATGCAAGCAGAGGAGGACTGAAAAAGCAGCAATCTGACTGATCAGACTCTGGGCTCAGCACGAGCATACATATTCGACAATGACGGGAAAAAAAAAAGAAAAAGAAAAGACTCTGGGCTCAGCACGAGCATACATTATCACTCATGGAAGAGATCCCTGGTTGCCTCAGACAATGGGATGACTGATCGGTTCCTTGCCTATGCGTTGGGGGAACACTCGTAGAGATCCTACAACAAGTGCCCTCTTGGTAGCTATCTGAACGGTTGGCTACGTTGGCCTTTGCCGTGGCCTGCGAGTGGGAAGGGTTTTCTCCTCCGTGCGCCTTTCCTCCAACACGTGCCGACCCAGTATATGTGGGTGCTAATTCCACTGGCCGCTCCCCTTTGATTGTTGCTTCTGTGGTGCTGGCTGGTTCCACTGCGGGCAGAAGGGAATGCCGTGACCTTCCTTGCCACACTTGAAAGTTGAAACACTTTTGGTTATCCCGGTGTTGGCGCCACTTGGATTCAGACCATGGTTACACTGGACCCGGACAGCGGACCAGTCCAGATGTCCTGCTGGACCTGTGTCTGGACTGCTCCAGACCGTCCAGATTGAACCCCGCCCCGCCCTTGGATTTGGCTACGAAGCTTGAGATGGTCCTCAGCCAAATAATTTTTGTATTGCAATGCTCTAACTTAAATTCTCTTCAGATTAGTGCCCCTGCTCCCCCCCCCCGCCCCCCCGCCCCCTCCATTCCCTTTTTTTTATTTTATTTTATAACTTGGACCATTTCTCGATTTATGCGTGCCATCCTTGCACAGGGGCTATGCTAATCTTCTCTGTATCATTCCAATTTTAACGGATCTCCCGAAGGACTTCTTCAGATTTTTTTATTTTTTTTGAAGTCGGATTTCCTTTTGGGGGTGGGGGTGGGGGTGGGGGAATGGATCCGAACACTCTGGACCGGACACCAGACCCGGACATCCAGTCTCAGACCGTCTGCAGTGAGGTCCTGACGTCCAGATTGCAACCATGATTCAGACAGGTTCATTTGCTTCCAGAGCTTACGTTCCTCACACCCCCGTGTTTCGGAAACCCTGTTGGACTTGCCACCTCCACCTCCTCCTTTCTGTGGCGGTCCTTGCCAACCACCTCCTGGTCTTTGTGGTTGGGACCTTCACCACCACTGCCTCCGTGTGGCCCTCCCATATGGGCCGGAATGGTGGCGTAGTCCCCTCCCTGACTGTACCTGCTGTCACCATCGTCCTGTATGTCGTCTGCAGGCACAAACTCTGCTTCTCCTGCCTCAAAGGACACAAATACATTGTCCCAGGCTCTAACATTGCTGACAACCCTGTTCCGCTTGAACATACTACATTTTAAAAGTATAGAAGGGAGAGGAAGATTGCGTAGATGCTGTGGTATTGCTGACTGTCGAGCCCACTGTGTATACTTCGTATGAGTGAAACCTTTGTGGCCAATCTCTCCATCTAGCACCAAGCTAATGGATTTGGGCATAGCAAGGCGAATCTGATTCAATTGTTGCGCTGGTGTGACCTGCTTCCCAGTTAGGTAGTCCAACCGGTGGATCAAAGCTTCTGTGCTACTCCAGTCTTATATGTTCATGATCTGTACGTCGCCTTAACTCCCTTGTTCTGGTCCTTGAATCTACCCTTCAGCTGGGCCAGGAACTCGGGGAGTTACTTGCTAGCCCCATACAGAAGTAGTTGGTCTCCCAAACCGCTCTTGGCCACCCGTTGCATCGCCCTTCACTGCAGTGCACAAAAAGACTATCTGGCGATCTTGTGGGACTCGTTCTGTGAACATGAATGTCTGTATCTCTGCAATCCACGTGTTGCTATCCTAGTCCTTGTTGCTGTTATAAGAGTCAGTGATCTTCATCTTATAGCGGAATCTGTCCTCGCTCGCTTCGTAACGGGGTTCCTCTTGCATCTGCCTCCCGTTTGTGCTGCCTTTCTTTCGTGTGACAGCCTCTTCTCCAACTTGGTGAATAATGCCCTGAACGTTTGCTGTACTCTTTCCTCTATACTGTCATTGAGGATGTTAATTTTTTGGTTCATCTCTTCCAATGTGTTTTGCAGCCCCTCAATCACCACCACCTGATCATTGAGGGTGAGCGTGGCTTCTTTGGTCACGTCCACCCGGCTGCTCTCCTTCTGGTCCTCTTTTTTTTCCTTCTTTTTTTCCCTTCAAAACGCCAGCCGATTTAACTCATCACTTGTGGAATAATGTATACTTACCAGTTGCAGTCTTTGGGCTTCACAAAGACGTACTCTTCTCCCTTGCTCTGGTCCTTGATGCTGGAGGACAGCAATTTCTCCTCCGACAGTTCTGTTGCCAACCTCTGCATCTTTTCCTTCTCTTCCTTCGCCTTCTCCGTTGTCTTCTCCAATTCCTCTTTTCTCTCTTTTGCATCCGCCTGTTTCCTTGCTGTTTCTGCAAGGCGAGCATCTACAGTGGAAAAGGGGTATAGAGTTTCTCCTACTGAGGCCTTTGTTATGCTTTGGGAGGTCTCTCCTGTTCCTCCTCCTCCTCCTCCTCTTCCTCCTCTTCTCGATCTTCTTCTTCATTCTCTTCATTCTCTTCTTCTTCTCCATCTACTCCTCCAATCTTTCGTTGCCTCCACTTCTTTTGTGGTTCTTTATAGCGCGCGTCCCTTGGCTTTAATGTCTCTTTTCCTCTATGGTGCTCTATCACTGGTGAGTGCACACTGCGCAGCCCGGATCGGGTCCGCGTCCCAACCTCCTATATTTAGACTTACCCCTTAGGCTTCTATGCCTACCCCTGTGACACCAGGTTAACCTACTTAACTTACTGAAGTTTGACTCAACCACCGGGTAATGGACAATCAGCGTTAACTGGCCACAGGCAGTTTAAGGGCAGCCCAGAGGTTCTCAAGAATTTGTTACTGTCACACAACGACGAGGCGAGGTGGTATCTTCTCTTCCCTTGACTGGTCAGTGGTCATGCGCATGTGGCTTGTTTGCACGCCAGTCAGTACCAGTTCTTGGGCTAGACAGGTCGTTAACGAGCGCCCGCTGCTTATGCCCTTGCAGCTACTTAACATGATGTTACCATTGGCAGGGCCAAGCCTTGGCACTTGAAAACTGGTGGACGCTCGTGTACACATGGTTGACTTGCATGCCGGTCATTGTTGGTCATTTGGCTAGACAAGCGGTTGAACGAGTGCCTGCCGCTCATGCCCGTGCAGCTACTTCACATGATATCGCCATATGCAAGCTGACTTACCGATCTCCACATGCAACCTCCCATCAACCTACGGCCTACTTGACATGAGCAAAAATGATGATGACTGAGCGTCAGACAGGGAATCAAGGTCACGCACACATTCGTACAAGGCTTATGGCGCTGAGGTACCTCACTTCCTGCACAATGTCGGCTCCTACGCACTTGCCAACACAAGTAAGTAGCTTGTTCAAGCTCTGTCCGTGCGGCGGGGACATGCTTTTTCTCCTCCGGCATTCTTCGCACGGGCCAATCCCAATTTTTTTCATTTGTTCACTGCGGTCCCCCCTCCTCCCACTGGCCTTCTGTCAAGCATGCCGGATTTTCTTCTTCTCATGCTGCACCTTTCTCACTCCTAGCATGCCACCCTCGTTTTTTTTTTTTTTTTTTTTTTTTTTAATGCGGCTTTCTTCCCTGCGTGCCTTGTTTTCCTGCATGCCCCTTTTGTCTTGCACGTGCTTTTGTTGCATGCTGTGAGATCTCTGTTGCTGAAGACAACGAGAGTTTGGGACGATACCACTGAAAAGGTTCTGCCTGTACTGAAAACAATCCTGCTTTCTCACATATGCATCACACATCAAGCCAAAGATTCACACGATATGAGTACGCTCGGAACTTATTTACAACTAACAAGTTGAGATGGTGAACACAGGTTTCTTCTGCTTTGCGGCCACGGCTGCCGCTGCCAACAAGCTGGTAAGTTTCTCTCTCTCCCTACTATCTACCACAGCGCCCAGGTCTTGTGATGACTCTACGGATGTCCTCGCTCGCTCTCTGGTCGCTGCCGCTGCCAACAAGCAGGTAAATTTCTCTCTCTCTCTCTCTCTCTCTCTCTGTCTCTACTATCTACGACTGCACTAAGGTCTCGCGATCTTTCTCTGAATGTTCTCTCTCTCTCTCTCTCTCTCTCTCTCTCTCTCTCTCTCTCTGTCTCTCTCTCTCTCTCTCTCCATTGCGCTATCCTACAGCTATGCCATCCTACATCATTGAGTATCTTCCTCGCCAGGCAGTGTTCACGTGTGCAGGGTCTTGGTGCACGGCAATGCAGCAGCATTTCTGAATAAGCCAGAATCGAAGAAGAGGAGGTTCCTGGCTGCGGCCTACCATTTGTGCATGCAGGTACCTCCCAGTGGATGGCCCTGTTGGTCCTCTCAGGCCTTGCCACGGCCAACAAAGATTGGGACTGTCTCTAGACCTTTCCCGGGACTGAGCTGCAACTTGACCGGGACTTGACATGTGTCAGATCAGTGCCCTACTGATTACTAGAGGACTTGTTCCTATTGGATCTCTACAGTACCCACCGGGAAGTTCTATGTCTGGCCCTATGATACAGAAGAAAACGGGGCACGGTACGAGGGCTGCATCAGTAAGTATTGTTACATGTTCCATTTCTTTCCTTCTTCCCGTTTTCGAAGCTGCTACAGGTTATCTAGTTTAGAAGTAGTCCTACTCTGGAAGCTGCTACAGGTTATCTAGTTTAGAAGTAGTCCTACTCTGGCTATATCATTACACATTGTCCTACATTGGCCACTTTTGCTGAATTGTGATTTTATAATTTTTAGTATCATTTTACTATTGCATGTGACCACCTTACAGCAGCAGTCGTTGCAAGTTTCACCAGGGTGTGTTGCAGAAGCTTCTTGTAATCTTGACTCTCTTCTTGGTTTTCCCATGGGTTTCATGGTTTTGGGCGGCAGGAGAAAGAGTTGCTGGATCAACACAATTCCTGGCTGAATGCTGAATTGACTACAAAGTCGGAAGCCTTGCTTGAAGAGAGAAGGAAGAGTGGTGAGGTGGAGGCGGAGCTTCGGACGAAGCTAACTGAGGTAGGCTTTGAAGTCTGTGAAGTACATCTTCTCAGCGCTTGGTTGTCTTAATGGTTTAGAAGTACATCTTCTCGGCGCTTGGTTGTCTTAATGGTTTATGTACTGGGTGAGGGATGTGTCCAGGTTGCTGTTTTGGGGATGGCTTTGATTGGAGGGATTGTTGGTTAGTTTTGATGGGCTTTTGTGGTCCAGCTTGGAAAGTCTTCACTTCGGTTGATAATTCTAGAGGTTGTCTTTCTGTCAGAGTACACGGGGTTAAGACAATCAGGTTGCTTTGGTGGTTTCGATGGACTTCTGTGGTCAAGCTTTGATTGGTTGGTTGTTCGTTTGGTTTTGATGGACTTTTGAGTGATGATTCTAGAGGTGGTCTTTTTCTCAGAGTACGCAGGGATAGGACAATCAGGTTGGTTTTGGCAGAGGTGCTTCTGTTATTGCTTGGGAGTTTGGGTCGGGCCTGGTGTATGTGAATATAGTGTTCAGGGCTTTTGTGTTTGTGTTGCCAATAGAATGTCTTCCAGGTGGCAGTGATGGTGCACGGATAGGTCTTTGCACTGGGGATCCTGGTCATTGACTTTCTAGCTGCCTGCAAACATCTGAGTGCGGCTTGATGATTGAATTACTAATTAGGTAGTGTTTGTGTGTTTCCCCATTTTGTGCAAGTGAGTGTCCAGCGTGTGGAATTCTGGGCACTTCCAACTCAACCATGCAGAATTGAGCAACCTTGAGACACATTTTGTCAATTTCTGTTAGTTTCTGTCACACTCATAAATTCGGGTTGGATGTGTGGTGGTGGTTCTACAAACTGTGACACGCATGGAATCTGGCCAGGTAGGAGAACAAGGACATGTGAGCCTGCGATCTCCTTGCCCAAAATCTACATACATAGTACATGCACGCACGCAGAACAGGGATGGTCTACACATACGCTCATAGCATGGTCTCCTGCAGATCTCTCTGGCTCTCGGCTTAAGTGTACAGGCCTATCAGATATTCATTCTCTCTCTCTCTCTCTCTCTCTCTCTCTCTCTCTCTCTCTCTCTCTCTCTCTCTCTCTCTCTCTCTCTCTCTCTCTGCCTATCTCTGTGATCATGTTTTTATCTGATCCACATGTATGTGTGAACCCATCTCACAGAATAGATTTTGATTGGGCACGAAGCTGAGTGTACCTCTCTCTCTGTCTCTTTCTCTTTCTCTCTCTCTTGTGTAACTTTTCGGGCTGATTTTGGCTATAACTATGCCCAGATAGATTCAGGGAAGTTTGTCTGTGTGGTTAGGGTGCAGTCACAAGCAGACTTTTTCAAAGGAATCTGAGATTGGCTGAGATCAGGTACATGAAGGTTGCTAAACCACCACTACCTGCGGGCCTCTTTTTGCCGAGGCAGAGTAGAACTGCGGGCCAAGCTTTGGCCAAAGCGCCAGCGCGGCGCGCCGCCGACCTTTTTGGTCCGGTAGCCAGGGGCCTCCGCTGACTTCCAAAATATGCGGCATAGCTTATATCTACGACTTTGCCTTCCAGTCTGAAAGGTAGCGGTGGTTTAAAGTGTGACTATTCTTTGACTGCTTTTTCTTTCGTCCTTTTATTTCGCATTTCCTTAATGGTAAAGTAAGTCTGAATTTATGAACGAATTGAGAAAATTATTTCAAAAATATACATGTTCATAATTTCGTTTTTTTTTTTTTAACCGTCTGTCTTGAGAGCTTGCCTCTGTTGCAGGCTATGTTCTTTTGTTTTAGTTCTAGTTAAAACTATAACACATTACCTTTCATCTGATTACTACACACATAAAACTCCTTTCCTACAGAATCCTAATTCCTGTGGGTGGAGCTGTGCTGGTTTATCGCTTATGATGGCACAGGTGGATAAAAACTGCAAGGATGCGAGTGACATGGCCAAAAGACTGAAAGACAGAGTGAAGGATCTTGAGAATCAGCTCAGCCAGACCAGAGAGGTTCGTCCAGGAATGTGGGTGAAATTCCTGCAGGATGATGTATGCAGAAGTTGGCAACTGGAGCTCAGACAGACAAAGTGTTTCCTGAGCGGTCCCTGGAGGTCTTTTTTCCTTTTTGTTTTTGGAGTTTTGTCTCGATTTCTCATGCTATATGTTGCAAAGAACAATGAGTAGAGTGGGTCACAGTCAAGTAATGCTTGGTGGTGTTTCTTTCCCCTGTTTACCAATAGCTCCCGACCATAGCGAACTCACTAGGAGGGGCCAACTGTATGTCCTTATTAGGAAGGGATCTGATGGCAGGGTTCTCGTGTGGAAGGTCTGAAGTTTTGCAGTACAGGAATCACCATGTGGCCAGTGGGAGACACTCAAATTGGAGTCAATGAACCGAAACCAGGGAGAAATACATTTGAATGGCAAGAGAATTGCATCCAAGCAATACATTAGAGCTGCACAAATGGGAAGTGGGCTGAGCACAGACGGTGCCCTCACTAGTCGTATGCTAAAGAAGAAGAGCAGAAGACAAGAAGAAGAGGAAGATAGCAACCCCCTGTGCGAAAATCTCCATGTCCTGAGCTCAAAGTTCTCCTTATTATCTCCTCCAGACTTCCCCCCCTCCCCTTCCCCCACAAAGACTAACCGAACCTTGCGGTTGTGGCTCCTTGAGGCCCAGGTGGACGGCATTGATTTGCAATGACTTGCTGTTTTCTGCCGCCGGTGACCTGTCGACCTGAGGCTGTAACATAGGTAGGTTAGATTCCTTATTTTGTTTGGCTGAGGGCTAACCGAGAGACCTACCTGTAAGGGAAATTCGTGAGGGACATATCTGCGAATTCGGGAAAATATAGGCCCGCACTAACCAGAATTTCCTACAGCTACCCTAACTGCGAATAGCAGGCATGGGCTACCCCTAGGACAGACAGGCCCTGAAGGCCTACGCTGATAGACGGTCCTATAGCCTATAGCCGGGTAGGGAGAGGCCCTAGAGGCCGAAACTGAAACGGTACCGGTCAGTCCTACCAGTCTGGTCTAGGTCGTGTCTAGGCTAGGGTAGAGTATGAATAGGTTAGGGGAAAACTATTCAAGGCTTTTGGGCAGTTGGTACCGGGGACATCGCTGCTGTGCAACGCATGAACTGGAAGTGGTGACAGCTTCAGCGTTGGAGAAGATGGATATTGCTGGACCTTCGGAGTGTCGGCCATAGCTGGGACCGGCGCTGTACTCTGACAGCACACGGGGCTGTTCAGAGGTCCGGGCTATCTGAAGTCTGCTGGAGGGGAGAGAACTTGGTGCCCTGCTGGACCCTCCTCAGGAGTAGGGTTTCAGGGTATTTGGCACTGCAGCCATAGCTGCAGCGTTCTTCCTCAGAGAGCATCTTTGTCAGGAGAGGTGGCGCTGCTACAGAATTCAACCCGGGAAGTCCTCTGGCGCTTCATCATCATCAGACACTGTGGCGCTGGTCTTCTTCTTCATCCTCTGAGAGGCGCTTGGCCTCAGAGGCCTGTTTCAGCATGGAGCTTCCCTCTGGAGGCAGTACCCGGGTGGCGCTTGATGTTTCAGGGACTCGGGTAGTTCTAACGTCTGTTCAGGGTTGGGGAGTGAAGCGCTGCTCACTTCTGAGCAACGCGGGTTATTCTGACATTTCGAGACTCTAAACAGTGTGTATTCTGGATGTGAACTATCATTTCTTCATTGTTTCCTGGATGTGATCCACTCGGCTTTTCTTTGTGACTGGTTGTGAGGATCCTGTGGAGCGAATTGCACTTTCAGTGTCTTCTGTCATATCGCATGGTCAAGTCTTCTGCCGTGTTTATCTTTCCCTGTGCTGTGTGATACCCCCATCCTCTCCCCTTCCTTCTGTGTATGTATGGGCATACCTGGAAGTCTATGTGTGCGCGTGTTGGTCTTCTGACAACAAACAACCAGGATCATAACAGATTACTTCCCAGAGGAAGGATGTACCACCCCTCACCCCTGCCTAAGTTAGCCTGCATGACATTTTTCTGACTTTGTGTCCGACCTTGGTTACAAGTCTTACTTCCACTATCTCTGTTTGCCTCCCCCAGACGTTAATTAAAGGAAAGAACAAATCTCCACATCTTGCACTCCCGTGGAGAATTCTCTCTCCCCCTCACTTGCTCACATATAGACAAATGCATGCATGCTCACACACACGCTAGGATTCCTCCCCCTCCTTTTGCTAGTGACATGCTTCTCAGGCGCCTGCATGCTCTACTTTCCTCGTGTTTGATGACGCCTACAGGACACACGCCGAAGCTGTCACCAAGGCAGCATGTGTCTATGCTAGCCGGGGGCACATCCCCAGTCTCATCCTGATGCTTAGCGCCTTGCATCCGGCCAGAGTTGACCTGTTCTAACACACCTCCCAAAGCTACATACTACTACTGGAGCCTCTGGTGTCTGCCTCACTGTCCTCTCTACCTCCCCCAGCAGCACAAGGGGCACCAGCACATGCAAGGCAGAATGAATGAGCCGCCAGGGCTGGCCACTCTGTTGTAGCGTTGACCGGCCCTTGCCTCCCTCCACTTTCCCCCCCAACGATGGAGATTTCCCAATCTGGGCGGCCCAGGTTTGCTGTCGGCCTGAGTATTTGTGGACTGAGTAGGCCCTGGAATCTTCTGGAACAATTGCCTTTGATTATGCATCAGATCTATGGCCGTGGTTGACCGCTTCCCGGGTTGGGCCTCACTCTTGATTTTCCAAGAGTCAACCGTCTCGTGTGGGGGCACAAATTGCCTTGTTTGACCCTGGATCCTATACCTGTTGACCCCAGGAATTTTAGACTGGACCGAAAGGTACGACCCTGGACTATGGTGGTGTGGATTTGAACTCGGCTCATTGCTTGTTCTCCCAAAAGAAGAAGTGGATAGCTATGGCCCGGTCCAGAGGGTGACAGGCGGGGCACCTTTATTTGAGCCCTATTTCACATAACTTCAAACCTCTGATGAGGGTAAGGTAATTTTAATAATAGTAGACGAAAAAGGAAGGAGAAGGGCCAGCGGCCTTAGCTTAGTCGGTAGCACACACAAGTTTCATGCAGGAGGTCGTGGGTTCGATTCCCCGCAGCCGCCTGCGGCGTGCTTTGTGCTCACCGGCTGATATACTTCGCTTGGCCCTCCTGACTGGTCGTGAAATGGGCTTTGCCTTCGTCCCTTCCATCCCTTGCCAGGGGTTAGGCTCAACTTAGGAGTAGTTCGAGGTTTGAAGTATCCTACTTAGACAGAGGTCCATCAGAGAGGCATAAGTGAGAGAAGAATGTAGCTTTGGTTTTTGTCCTTTTTTAGCGAAGAAGAACTAGGATTCAAAACACTGATTTAACAGGGCTTCTTATGGGCCCAAGGTCCAACTCTGCACCAGACATTGTATGTAGTAGCTTTAGTTTTTTTTTTCCAGTCCTTTTTATAACGGAAGGAGAAGTAGAATGAAAAACTCTGATTTAATAGGACTGCTTATGGGCGTAAGGTCCAACTCTGCACCAGACAATGCATGTAGGTCTGGCCCAAGGCGCGTCACTGCAGTGCCATAAACATATACGGACTTCTTATGGGCCCAAGGTGCAACTCTGCGTCAGACAATGCATGTAGGTCTGCTCCAGGGCGCCTCACTGCACTGCAATGAACAGTTATGGACCTGGAGTCCTCAGCCTTAGCCTCGAGGCCACCTCATTTCTCATATCGCCCCTTTACTATTTTTTTTTTCTTTTTTATGTTTACGTAGCCAAATTCAGTGAAATCAAGTGTGATCAAGATCCATTAGGTAGCACATCACGCAGGGCCGAGTCGTACCTAAGTCTGTGTGTGTTTTCTGTTTGGGGAGGGGGGTTGGAAATGGGTGCATTTTTGGCCATAGGTGGTAGTACCATCCTGTCCACATAGTATGACCCGCCCCACATGCTACCACCCAGTGCACACGATACCCTAGCGGACACGGTATCACCCAGGGGACATAATACCACCCATCCCGTGTAATACCACCTGGCGGTGCGTAGGGCCGAGTAGTACCGCCGAGTGGTAGGGCCGAGTGGTACCACCGCCCAACCGACATGGTATCGTCCAGGCCACCTGGCAGTACATATGGCAGAGTATACCTCGTGTTGGTGGTGTGTGTGTGTGTGTGTGTGTGTGTGTGTGTGTGTGTGTGTGTGTGTGTGTGTGTGTGTGTGTGTGTGTGTGATGGTACCATACCACCCCAAACCAGACCAGCCAGTCCACATGGTACCACCCAACCCACAGTATCATGCAGACCACAGTGTAACACATTGGTGCGTGGTGTTCTCCCCGCCCTGCCCCCATGGTAACACGCCCGGTCGACTCATAGGGCAAACACTGAACCCACATACTGCTGTGCGATATCCGACAGATATAACACCGCATCCAGCCCACACAGCACCAAAAGTTGTGCTGAAAAGAGAGTTTCCTGACACATTTCCATTCTGCCGTAAGCGAAGCTGCGGTGGGCAACCGCTTGTTCAACTAAAACAAACAGACGGCGAAGAAAAAAGAAAACAGAACTGTGAAACGGAAAAGGAGGCCACCTGCCATTCCAGGCGTGGGCCCCTTGTCCGTTGCCTTCTTGAGACGTCCCAAGGCCAGTACCAGTCGCATGCAGGTTGGGAGGTTTCATTTGTTTGCTTTGTCACCGTTTGTTCTACGGGACTGGTGGTTTAAGGGTAACTGATGCCCATGCCTAAGTAACCACCACCTCCTCTAGACCTTATGGCCTGGTTGTCTAGTACTCCTAACTTCCCAAGGCCTAGCATACAGGCCAAAAGTTGTATCTTTTGTCAACAAAGTACGGTCCTTATGCTCTTTCAGTCACATGGTGCCTTCTCCCACCTGAACTCAGTCCAGTTCCATAGTTGCTTGCCCAGCCACATGGTCTGTCACTCGTGGAACTGCCCACTCAATTAATCAGCGACTCAATATTTTACTTCCTTGTCCAGTCACAATGGGTGGTTCCTGAATTTTTGCTTTTTCACTCACTCCCCATATCTTGCATCAATCTGGTGTCCATTCATCTATTGAGTAATATCCTCCTTGTGGAAGTAATTTATGTGATATGCATAACGGGGCGTGAGGCTGATATCACTGACTTTCTACTGTATGCAGGAACTCAAATATGTCAAGGACGAGGCTGCCTCTCAGGAAGAGCATTTTACAGGAGAGATTGCAACGGTAATTTCATGTAATAATTTGCTTTCGTTTTGCATGGAGAGAATGGCATTGCATTTTTCTGGCTGCTGTAGTAGTTGTAATCTCGCTATTTCCAATAACATGCACAGGTCAGGAGTAGGATTCATGGGATTGGATGCCGTTCTCGCCAAGTGTGCACTCTGGACATGATATTACCCACCTTTCCCCACCCCCACCATCCTCACCACCCTCACCACTGCCCCACTCCCACCATGAAAAGAAAACCCTCCTATTGGATGTACCTCTGTTTCCGTGCAAAGAATATTTTCCTAAGAGAGCCTTGAGGACGTGGGTTTGATGATTTGATCATTTCATATCTTGACTGCGGTGACGCGCGCTGGAGGAAACCTTCTGAAATGAATAGAAATTGGACAAACTCGACTATGAATGTGCATTTGAGCATTGATCCGTGGTCCATCAGGCTCAATTAGAAAGAGAGAGAGAGGGGAGAAGAGAGAGAGAGAGAGCAGCGTTTTTATCTGATCCGTGGTCCATCGGGCTCAATTAGAAAAAAATAAATAGAAGGGAAAGTCTGCAAACAAGTGCGCTTGCCCGCGCGCGTGCTTGTGTGTGTGTGTGTGTGTGTGTGTGTGTGTGAGAGAGAGAGAGAGAGAGAGAGAGAGAGAGAGAGAGAGAGAGAGAGAGAGAGAGAGAGAG